TATTTGGTTGTCCTGTTTATGTTCCGATTGGTCCACCTCATTGTACAAAAATGGGTCATCACAAAAGTTTGGGAATTTATGTTGGTTTCGAATCTCCCTCAATAACAAAATATATATAAACGATGACTGGTGATTCATTCAAAGCACGGTTTTGCAGATTTTCATTTCGATGAGACCATGTTCCCGACCTTAGGGGAGAAAGTAATAAATTAGACCAAGTACGAAAGAGATAACATGAAATTCAACATGATTATCACATCTTGGCTCGAGAACACACACACGCGCGCACACACACACACACACACACACACACACACACACACATATATATATATATATATATATATGTGTGTGTGTGTGTGTGTGTGTGTGTGTGTGTGTGTGTGTGTGTGTGTGTGTGTGTGTGTGAGAGAGAGAGAGAGAGAGAGAGAGAGCAAGAAGTTCAAAAGATAATTCATTTACAAAATGTTGCAAATCAGTTGTCTGATGCATTCACAGATACAAAGAAAGTGACAAAGTCACATATTCCTGCTATGAATGCTCCTGCCAGAATCGAAATCCCAGCAGAGAATTCTGAAAAATCTCCTGCAAATGATTCTTCTATACGCAAAAAGCGTGGCAGGCCACTTGGATCAAAAAACATAAAACCAAGAAAAACTAAAAGGCGGGAATTGATCTGTGATGTCAAAGATGTTCATCCTTCTGAACAAGAAAATGAACAATTTGAAAATACTTGCATAGAAAATTATATTGACAAAACAAACATCTCAAATGATGATCCAACTTCCTTAAACGAGGAAAATATTCCAGAGAATGATAGAAACATTGATAGATATGAAAATCAATAAACTACGCTTCTACTAGAATGTAATAGAATAAAAAAGATGTTAATATTAGTGAGATATTTGTCTATGTTGTTGCCCCAAATGTAATGAATGAAAACAATGACAATGAGCCAACATCAATTGAAGAATGTCGAAAATGACACGATTGGCCAAAATGGAATGAAGCTATTCGAACTGAATTAAAATCACTTGAAAAATGTGATGTTTTTTGAACCGATAGTCTCTACGCCAAAAGGCGTAAAACCAGTGGATTTTAAATGGGTATTTGTGCGTAAACGCAATGAGAAAAATGAAATTGTAAGATATAAAACCCGACTTGTTGCTCACGATTTTTCTCAAATTCCGGCAAATGATTATGAAGAAACATATTCTTCAGTAGTTGATGCAACTACATTAAGGTTTCTTATTGGCATGTCTGTTTTTGAAAGGCTGCAAATGGACCTAATGGATGTAGTGACTAGTGACTGCATATTTATACGGTTCACTCGATATAGACATATATATGAAAGTTATTGGGGGATTTAAAATGCCTGAAGCTTACGGCTCGAAACCTCGACACATGTTTTCCATTAAATTACAGAAGTCATTGTATGAACTAAAACAATCTGGATGAATGTGGTATAATCGTCTCAGTGAATACCTTCTTAAAGAAAGATATAAGAACGATCCAATTAGTCCATGTGTTTTCATTTGGCGATCAAATTTGAGATTCACCATAATTGCAGTATATGTTGATGACTTAAACATTATTGGAACTCCGGTGAAATTGAAAATACTGCAAAATATCTTATAAAAAAATTGAAATGAAAAATCTCGAGAGAACCAAATTCTGTCTCGGACGTCAAATTGACCATTTGAAGAATGGAATTTTCATCCACCAATCCAATTACACCGAGAAAATTTTGAAGAGATTCTATATGGACAAAGCTCATCCTTTGACTTCACCGATGGTAGTTCAATCTCTCAACATACACGATGATACATTCCGTCCTCGAGAAGATAACGAAGAAATACTCAGTCCCAAAGTACCATATCTGAGTGCTATTGGAGCTTTAATGTATTTAGCTAATAATACTAGACCACATATTGCATTTTCTGTAAATTTATTAGCTAGGTACAACTCATACCCAACAAAGCGTCATTGGAACGGGATCAAGCACATATTCCGTTATCTCCGTGGTACAGTTGATCTCGACCTATTCTACCACAAAGATGAAAAAACCGCTTTAATCGGATATGTAGACGCTGGATACTTATTAGATCTTCAAAAGGCAAAATCACAAACCGAGTACGTATTTACTTATGGTAGTACCGCAATCTCGTGGAGATCTATGAAGCAGACATTGACAGCTACATCTTCAAATCGTTCTGAGTTAATTTCACTATATGAAACCGGAAGAAAATGTGTGTAACTACGATCTATGATTCAACACATCCAAAATTAATGTGGTATTAAACCTATTACTTTTCACCCTACTATGATCTACGAAGACAATAGTGCGTGCATACCTCAAATTAAAGAAGGTTACATATATCAAAGGATACAGAAAGAAACACATATCACCAAAATTCTTCTCTACTCATGATCTGGAGAAAGAATGGATGATCAATATTCAACAAACCAGATCCAGTGAAAATCGGGCAGATCTCTTCACCAAATCTTTACCCCTGAAGAAGTTCATAGAACTCGTACTGAAAATCGGCATGCATCGCCTTCAAAATTTATGTTAATTTCAGGGGGAGTATTTGAATGCACTGCATTCTTTTTTTCTTTATCAGGTTTTTATCCCTTTGGATTTTTCATGATAAGGTTTTTAACGAGATAGTACATCAAATGCAACGACATTATAAGTTGTAATCCTTACCCCTTAACTTTAATTTTTCATAATAACTTTTAGTATAACAAATACCTATTCAAAGATGAACCATTCAAGGGAGAGTGTTGTAAAATGACCAAATTGACAAGTGTGAATGGTTTATTCTTGTAATCAGAACACCTAGTTTGTTCTAGTACTTGTAATCAGGTCACTCATCTACTTCTAATCCTCGTGATCAAAGATAAACACATGGCTTCATTTACATATTGTTCTAGCAAAATTATGTAGAACTACTTAGGACGATTCATCATCAAGTTCCATCCCTATAAATAGGGGCTTGATAAACTCTGGTATATGAACTCAAAAAATTTTCATATTAAGAATAAGATAATATACAAAACTTATTATTAATATATCCATCTTTTAAATATAGTCTTCATCTTCTTCATTTTATCCATCTTTTAAAAATGGATAATTACTTTTATCCATTTTTTCATATTATTATATCTTGAACTTTTCACTATTTACTGGCTTCAGTCGAGTCCTTATTTCACTCATCTTGTCCCTAGACCCTAAATAATAAATAACATCAACCCCCCTCCCCTTCATGAAAAAGCTAATGGTGTTCATATTACTGCCACGACCGAATATATATCAATCACAGTTTTCATTTTCTAACATTTTTGTTCCCAGTTGAGTAGGAGTTTAATTTTTAGAATAATAATAATAGTCAAATCCAAAACAAACTCTCCCTCCGTCCCCTATAATTTTCCCATTTTCCATTTTTGGATATCCCTTTATTATTGTCCCATACGACCATACCATATTTGGTAACATTTGTGTGGCTCTAATTCATTCTTACTTTATTTCCACTTTATCAAATCATTACCGATCACATAATTTTACTTTTCTTAAAAACCACATCACTCCCTTCCGTAACAATATTAGGGGGACGGAGGGAGTATCTTGCAAGATATGCCATAGAGTTCTGGACCACCAATGTCTCCATGGGGTTGCACCTTGTCAAGGCTGCCAAAATGCCCGCCCAAATTCTGTGTGTAATAGATATAAGATGAAGAAGAAAACGGTAGGCTAAAGGTGTACACAAATTTTCCAACTAAAGTGTTCTTTCTTATATATTCCTACTAAACCATTCTTATACCTAGGGATGTCAAAAAAAACCGACCCGCAATGACCCGCCCTGGCCCGAGACATTTGGGGCGGGTCCGCCCCGCCCTGCCTATACAATGGGGCGGGTCCGGGTATTAGAATTTACCGTGCCGCCCTAACCTGCCCCGACCCGACCCGCTGAATATATAAGTATACATACTTTTTCTTAAATTATAGTACTACAAATATACTTCAACATACATATGTGTATATACAATAAATCATAAATTCTTTGATCTTATAATATATGAATACGAAGTATATATTATAATGAGATGCATGACTAGGCTTGGACTCGGGTCGGGCCACCCGACCCGTGGACCGGCCCGGCCCGCTACTGTGCAGGCTCGGGACCGGCCCGGTTCTCGGGTCCGGGTCCGGGTCGGGCCTAGGCCCGAGGGGTAGGCGGATCCGGGCTCGGGTCTCAATTTTGGTGAACCGGCCCGGCCGGGTCGGGCCCGGTCCCGGTCCAAATTGAATTTTTTTTTTTTTCATTTTTGGGGTTCCACCCGGGTTGGGCTTGATGGGTAGGATGGGTTTGGAGGGGTTTGGGAGGGTGGGGGTGAGGGGGGGGGGGGGTTAGGAAAGCAAAAAAAAAAAAAAAATCCAAACCGGGGGCCCGGCCCGGACCCGGCCCGGACCCGGTGGCTACCCGGGTCGGTCCCGGGTCCACCATTCTTGAACCGCCGGCCCGCCCGGGCCTAGGCCCAACCCGGACCCGAGTCCACCCCTATGCATGACGAATTATCAATATCTTCTTTATATATAGAATTTTAATACATATATTCGATTATTAATATAACTAATAAGATTAACTATTCAAGTTTGAGTAATTTTTCCTTAATTTTTGAAATTTTTAGCGTATCATGAATTTGATTTAATATATTGATTTTTAATTATTATTTAGAGATAAACATTATGTAGATTCAATTGGTAACAACTTCCCACAAAAAAATACATACTAACTAATTAGATTACAGCGGGGCGGGTCCGCCCCGCCCCGCCCCGCATGGGGCGGGTCATGGGTCAACAAATTTGGACCCGTGCAGGTCACGGGGCGGGGCGGGTCCGGGTCTTGCAATACCCGCCCCGCCCCGACCCATTGCCATGCCTACTTATACCGAAATTGGTACACAATCAATAATTGAAAGAATATTTTTGGTAATAAGTAGCACACAAGCTCTTCAAAAACTTTTGAGACAGTTCTTCATTTAGCAATTAAAATGAACTTCTGAAAACTACACACATCGCACTTGTTTATTTTTTCATTATGAAAAGGGCCTTGCTAAGTCAGTGGTCATTGGATGATAAATAAAGACCAAAATATCTGAATAAGCGCATTTTCACATATCACAATCACAGCAGTATGATTGAATAAGGCCATACAGTGTTTTAGAGGGCATCATCAGCTACTGAAAACTTCTGGAGAGAAGGCAAGCGATAATGAAATAACAGCCAGTTTACACATGTTCTGGTAAAAAGATATTCTGAAGGAAAGTAACAATGTGACCCAGAAAAAGAGAGTCCAATCGAGGGACATGCATTGTTACCGAAGCTGATAAGGAGGCATTGCAGAAGCAGCAGCTGAGGAATGTGGTACAGCACTGTTTTGGGTGTTGTAGTACACATTGCCAGGAGGCATGTAAGGAGAGGGGGGAGGATTGTGCATGTGTGAGGTGGCCATAGGTGAAGGTCCCGCAGCACCGGCATAGTTCCATGAAGAAGCACCAGGGTGATGTGCAGGAGGAGCATTGGGAGGATAATGAGATGGGTTGTTGTTGTATGGATAATGAACACCTGGTGGAGCTGCTGTTGGGGATGAAACCACAGTGGGTTGAGCACTTGGTAGAGGAGGAGGGGCATTTGGGATTGTATAATCTCTGCTCCTGTCATTGTTCACCTGAAATTTATCATCATTAGTAATAATATACTAAGATCTTCTAATTGTGCACATTTTAACCCATCTTTCATTTCAAGTCATGTACAAAGCTATAATCTACTATTCTTTTTAATTTGGAAAAAGGGTCAAATAAATCTATTTAGTGTTAAAAAGAGTCATTTGGGTCATTTTACCGGATGGTAACTCCCTACAGCAGGTTTTTTAAGTATGGAAATCTTATTCTTTTTTATTTACTTTTTACTTTTCATTCTCTTTCTTTTTTCTTGACTGTCTTCCTCGTTACCTCTATCTCGCTTCTTTCGTCCTTATCTGTTGTTCATTTCTTTCTTCTTTTGTTTTTCTTTATTTTTTTATTTCGTTTTGTATTTTCTCCCTAGATACACACTCTCTTCCCCTTTGTATTTTCTTCTCTAAATCTAAATAAAAGTGTTATGCAGAGTATTTTTAAAAGAGATCCAAACAATCTACTTATAATCTTTTGATTTTTCAATTTTCATTAATACACACGTACAAATCCATACATAAGTATATAAGTATGTGTTAAATCTATAAATTAATACATATACACGCATATACATACATAAACACACACACATGTATATTACTCTGTAATACATACACATACATATATTGATACACACACACTTATGTATATATTAAATATTAAATATGAGGAAGCGGTCCAGTCCAGCTGGTCACCGACTCACTCTCCCTTACGGGAAGTCTCGGGTTCGAAACTCAATGGAGAGAGTTTCAGCCTAGATTACTCCAGGCTCCCCCAGCCCCCCTCCCCCAGACGCCCCCTGGAGTAAAAAAACAAAATGTATATATTAAATATACTCGTATAAATTAATACGGAGTAACATTCACGCAATTTTTAACTAACAACAAGCTATAACACAGTAATGAAATCCATCATCATAGTATCACACTAATCTAGAAACAAAGGGAAGAAAATAAATCCAAATGGGTAAACTAATCAAAATTTGAGGCAGAGTGATTTTATGTGTGTGGGTGTAGTGTATATCATCTTACAAAATCGCAATGGCAATTAGATCCGAAAACTACTTGAGAGATGATGAGAAGAGATTGACAAAGAAGATGTGAATAGGAATAAAAAAGAATGACCAGTGAAAAGTAAAAGTAAAAAAGGAATAAGATGAACTGCTAAAGGAGCGATGGAACAAGAAGAATGTAGGGGAGGAAACAAAGGGGAATAAGGGAAAAAATCAACGGGCAGAAAAAAAGAAAGAAAAAGGAAAAAAGAAATAGATTGCCAAATCAGCATATCACTTGCTATAAAGGGTTATCTTCCGGTAAGTTGGCCTAATCGATTGTTTATTAATAGTAGAGATGGTAATATGATACTTTCTAGAGTAGATGGACTTAAATGATGTATTTGAAATAGTTGAAGGGTCTATTTGACCCTTTTTCCTTTTATTTTTAAATTACAATTACTTTCTTAATCCAAACTACATCAAATGATAATTTTCACAAAAAATATTTTAACACTAAATTGATGCAAAAAATGTTTTATGAATGAAGGCTCTAAAACCTTCTTAATAATGAATAATAAGATGAAATTCAAAAACTGTCTCCATCATATAGGAATAATAGGATTTATCTACTTGCATATAAAAATAAAATAGCATGACTGGTCTTGTCTAGTTGTAGAATACATATTCTGAAACCAACACGGATGAAGCAGTGGGCACTCATTAAGTAAAATCAAATACAAATCCCCAGTTACACAGTAAAATTATTCTTCGTAAATGATACTTTTTGGGAAAGTTTTGGAGGGGAGGTGTCATTTTTCATTTTATGAAAATATTCTTTGATATGACAAGTTTTTAAAACAAGATAGGTAATTGATAAATTAATACGCAGAATAAACTAAATGGCTTAGTAATATAATTCTCTTGATTTAAAAAAATCACATTTTCACTCCAAAAAGAACCACTGTGAACATACCCTTATACTGAGATCAGTATGTCGAGAATAAGTAATATGAAGCTTGCAAAATCCCCCTTCATATATGCAATGTCCTTCCAAGGCTTCCTTTGCAGCAGTAGCTGTCTGGACATCTGTGAACAAAGTTCCTTGATATTAATCTTTAACGTGCAAAATGCAGACAACTCAGGAACCATAACACTCAAATCATAACGACTCAAGCAAGCCGACTCATTCGATTATCAAATGTACTCAAAATAGAAAATAAAGAATATCATGTATTCATGTACAAGCCAGCAGCTTAATTTACATTATTTCCGAAACTATTTTTGGACATGACTACAGAAACTATCTCAGCTCATTCTTGGTAGTTACTATACAGTAAGGAGTAATATATAAAGAATGGGAAACAACTTTAAATAATACCAACTATCACCCGTAAATCAATAATACTACCTTCGTCCCAAAAAACTTTGCCATTTCAAAAAAATTGAACATTGATTTTGATGAGTATAATATTATGGAAATTATAAATTTTATACTTTTACGAAAGTAATTTTAACAAAGAACATTTTCATATAATTTTTATAAAATAAATAATTTTCAATAAAAAGATATAGTCGGTCAAAGTTTTGAAAATGGGAAAGTTTTTTGGGACGAAGGTAGTAATACATACTTTGGAAATGACTTCTAATAATACCAACTATTTGGATATATAACAAAAATAATATGGATCCACTTCGTGACAAGAAATCCAGTCATTTAAGACATCAAAAACTGATATCAAACCATCAAATAAATGATATTCGGAAATTGGGTAATTATTTGATATTTTGATATTAGTTTTTGATGAGTTAAATGACTGAATTTTTAGTGAAAAATTACTCTGTATCACTTCTATTATATATTCAAATAATTGATATTATTAAAAGTTATTTCTCAAGTACGAATTATTCTTAGTTCTTGGAAGATAGTTTGTACTTTGTACTATCTAAAATTATTTTCCCTGTAGAGAATTGAAGGTTAAAGATTAATCTAACCAGGATATTGGATCAAAGCCTGGAGACCTCCATTCTTATCAAACATGGCAATTTTTAAGACCGATCCAAAAGCTGAAAAAACCTGACATGGCCAACAATGCTGGATATAAATAGAACAGATTATAGATTATTGAGGAATTATTTAGCTGAATGTAAGCACTCACTGTGTGCAGAACATCCAAGGTTACTGCATATTGCATGTTCTCAATAGCAGCAAGAAGAACGTTACTCTCTGAGTCCAATTTCTTTCCATCTAAACCAACACTGATCTGCAATTGCAACATTCAGGTCATAAATCAAGATAGAGGAGGACTTGGGAGTTTTTAATTTATTGTAGTTTTTTTAACTGTAACTGTTGGGGGGTACAGATTTCAAAAAATATCTCATTAACTGGCACTTTTATGTGTAGGTGGATCCTGAGAATAAACTAGTTCCATCTCATAATGTTAGTCCCTTAGTTTCTGACTATGAGTAACATTTATGGGCATGTGATGATGTGATAATATTAGTATGGATCAATGTTCAAAATTGTGTATTGCATAGTCGAGGCAGTTTCATAGGATGATAGGATTACATATAGGCATGAGACTGAGGTGTGTTTGTGTATAGTGAAGATAAAATATTCATCAAAAAAAAAAATCAGTGGCCAATTATTATCAACTACACTGACATCATACAACATATAAAACATTATTAGTGATGCAGTTATGGGCTAGACATTATTGTGCATACATTCCTCCGATTTGAATAATTAAAGATAGGTAGGATAAATGTAAACAGTAAACTAGCCTACTGGGAATTATATAGATGACATATCAACACCTCTTACCATTCACACATGGACAGATTACTAACTCAAATATTTGTATAACTCAAAGAATAAAAAAGAACACCTTGAAGTGTATGTCAGAGAAGAGAAAAAAGAAGAGCGAAATGTAATCACAGAAAAGGAGTAACAAGACACAGCAGAGAGCTATAGAAGTCGACCCAGGACAGGCTAGTGATTGTTGCACAAAAGCACGTCTTATAACTAAACTGGGCTGATTTTTTAGGTTGGACTGGGACCAGCTTCTCATCATTTTCATTTTCATTTACCCCAGTGCCGCAAAGGCTCCCACCTACGGTGGGGTAAGGGGGGTCGGATGTACGCAGTCTTACCCCTGTACTAAAGCACAGAGAGACTGTTTCCGGATGACCCATAGTGAAAATCCCATCCAAAATTGCATGGACTGACTGCCGCTTCATGACAAAGAAGCGCAAACAGTTTAGTGAGCCATTTTGCTTTATTCCATCATAATCTCAAGCCAAAAAATAATGAATCTTTGGCTCCATTGCAAATGATGGAAACAATTTAATAATCCCTGAACTAAACTCAGAAAACAAGACATATGCCTTCAAACCACCATTTATTGCATATGTCATAAGGTGCGCGCCTCAGTAAAAAAGGAGTAAGCCTCTGCAAGACGCACCTCAAGGCACTATTGCATTGCGTGATTACAAAGCATGCTATGGACAGTCAAGCTTCTCATATGATTTGCATATTCAAAATGGCATCCTTAGTTGTCATAACAAAGGTGAATTAGGGTAGAAGTAGAACAAATTCTTGTGACGCTTTATAAAATAAAAAAAAGATGCTATTTAGAGACAAAATCTTTTCACCAACACCATGCTTAATCAGACAACGGAGGATTACTACTCTTAGAGGGCTTTCTAATGTCCAAATGGTTCAGCAATGCATTAGTAGTGCACTAAAAAAAACTATTTCCAACATTCCCGGGCATTCTAGTCTTAGTACGAAAATGCAAAAAACTGGCCTACTTTTGATCTAACTATCTCAATGATGAGAACTATTCAACTTTTGGTCACCGCATCTATTAGTTCATTTCTACTTTACATCCCAATTTTAAATTATCCCAATTCTACTGCACCAAATTAGATTTTTTGCCGCTTTTGGTCCTTCTGATCACTTATCCAATACATCTCTTCACAATTTCTTGTTGATTTTCTGAGGGACATGCGATCAAAGGGCAAACAAATCCAGTCATGTACCAAAAGCAAAAAGTAGAAAAATAAGTCGAGGGATAGTTGCGAAAATGACCTGATTCTTATGGGACCAAAAGTGGAATATTTTCTCAATTATACATGTGTGTAGAGCCCTTATTATGTACCTGACCACTTGCATCAATAGCAGAGGGTGCAACAGGGAGGAGAGGATTCGTATAATCCCTAAAGCAGAATAAGAGCAACATAAAAGGACAAAATGATAAATCATCATTAAAATAAGATGCAAAAAATTATATTGTGTCACTTGCTTTGCAACAACACTAAAGGATCAGTGACATTTTACCTGCTACGATGACTCTGAAACTTTACGCTCAAATCAGTGTGAGCTGAATATGTGATTTTGAGACTACAAGGTCCAAGTTCTGGAATTAAATAACTGATCAAAACCAACAGTAAAGTGGTACAGTCAGTTTGGGCACACTAATGGTCAATATGCAATCATCAAGAATATGTTTCAAATACAAATTGTCAATAATTATCACATTCTTGCCACAATTTACGTTAGGGCATAATACCAAGACCAATGCTCGTCACACATAACTAATGCATGCCAGAGTGACCTCGTTCTGTTAACCCTTGGCAAGGTGCCAAGGTCGGCCAACTTATAACAAATGATATATGAGTTCTGAAACCAAGTAAATGTGCATAAATAACATTATGTGTGCAAATAGCACTTCACAAATTCATTTTAAATTCAATATATTATATTCTTATTCTAATAGAATAAACAAGAACTCAGAAATGCAAGTTAGGCAAGAAGACATTAGTATGCCAGCTATCAATTTCTTAATCAGTACTAAGCACCATATCTTGCATTTCTTAATCAGTACTCTGCAAGTAACCATCAGCAACTCAGCAGCACCAAAGCTGTAAGCCTACATTTGGATGGAGGGATCTGGAGTGGAAGATTTTGGAGGGCATAGTCAATATCTTGACAGATAAAATGTTCTGGAAATAACGAAAAGGGGTGATTGGATAGAGGGAATTGGAGTTGAAGAGACTTTGGAGGGCGTACTCTATCTCTTGAAGATGTAATTTTCTGAAAAGAAAGGGTGATTGAAATGCTTTACAATCAGTCGAGCCCATATTGTGCTAATCATTCAATTTCTATAAAATCTCTCTCACACACTAACACACACACACATGTATATAACTATATATGGATGAAGCTTTCCAAAATCTTCCCCTCTAAACACCTTCATAACCCTCCATCCAGATACACCCTACATAACATGAATGAGGAGACCCTGAGTGAATATAAGATGACAAGTGATGGGCTAAGAACATGCATTGCAGATTTGGGAGATAACTAATAAAGGCTCTTAATAGACATCCAGCCAGAATGTAGACGAACCACATCTACAGCAAAGGATCAATAACATTTGGGTTACATCCCAGCCAAAACTGTATATCCAAACATCACCTGGGGATGCTTCTTCCATCAAGAGCATCCTTTGCAGAAGTAGCAGTTTCTGTGTCAGTGAATTGCACCAGAGCCTGAAAAAAGAGGCAAGAGTAAGGATGTGCTATACAAGAAGGGAAAGGCTTGAGCATTACAGCCAGATTGATTTTAAAAAAATATACAACACCTGAAATCCAGCAGTCTTTTCAAATGTAGTGATCTTATGCACAAATCCGAAAGCGGAGAAAACCTGGAAGCGTAATAGTATTTAGCATTCATAATGCATGACAACAAAATACATCCAGAACAAACGTATATAGGATATTAAAAACCCAACAAGTTTCCAAAATGATCTCTCAAAATGAGATCTTACACTGCAGAAATTACACCAAACACTATGTGAAGATTTTTTTCTTATTAACAAAAAATTACACATTATAACTGTAGGGATGCCCCATAGATATTCTTTTTTGCAGAAAATGTAAATCTGTTAATTTTTCAACATAATATCCCCATCAGCCCCCAAAGAAGTGAAAAAATGTGGGTTTTTTTTTTGGGGGGGGGGATAATGAAGGTTTTTACATGCTCGACCATTGGTGCTTGGCCGTTACGATTCCTAACTATCACTCCAAAAGAGACGAGATAAGTGCTTCAACTGGAAAGGAGTTGGTAGAATAGGATACTCTCTTTGTGGGAGAACCGGAGAAGTGCATAATTTTAACAAAGAAACGTAGGAGCTCTATGACATTAAATTTATCATTAGTAAAATATGCTCTGTATATAGCAGAGAACTATAGGAACAAAAATGTGCCGTCTAGTGTATAACCAAATTTTACACCTATAAGACATAGATTCACTTAATGAACACAAATGAGGTGCAACTTAGCAAAAATTTAAATTTAATATTAAATGCATTGCAGTATGTAAATGAGGGATGCAGAAGTAACATTTTGGGGAAAGAAACATCTAAGTAATTAGTTTACAGAAGATGACCCGATATGAACTTGTATAGAAACATGGAGGCACGTAGGTCAATATCACTGAGAGTCCGAGAGTTATGGTTCAAAAATATGATGAAAAATATATTTGAAGAAAAGTACTTGGCAGATCCCAAGATTATTGTCTCCATGCAAATATGCAACTAAATCAGAAGCATTTCTTTTGAAGGTTATTCCCTCTAATAGTATACTTATAACAATCAAGGTTTCACTTCTAAAAAGAATCATAGCGCCCTTCATGTTTATGTAAGGGAGCTTAGTGCATATAGAGAACTGAAAAGAGAGTATCCGGCACTCCAAGAATCCAAGGATAGTGAGATGAGAAGGGGAGAGAGAGCAATGGTAAGCAAAGGAGAAAGGAGACAAACACACATTTGCTCATTTTTCCTGATGCAATAAGCTGCCATTGAAGATATTTCCTTGGCATGGGCCTGCCGATACATTCACATTCTTGTCAAAAAAAAGATGCTACAAGAGAGCTTGATGTACAACAACCTAAGCACCATAGCAATGAGAGAAGTTTATTCTGTAAAGTATTTTACTTGGATCCATAGGAGCAAGGAGCAGATAAATTACTTACCAAGTGCAAAACATCAATGCTGACAAGGCGTGCATCATTTCCCTCGATTGTCACTAATAGTACATTTCCAGCAACATCTGCAGTGGTTTTGCTGTTCACTATCTCTTGCCTGTTGGAGTATTGTAGGTACACAGTTTTGCCCCGCACCTGAGCTGGCTCTGATGATGAAGCATAATATGATATCATTGCAATTGCCTGGTTCTGTTCAGCCTGCAATCGTAAAAAATAAATAAAAAGGAAACTCCATACTATATACAAAAAGTGATCTTTCGTAATGGTCACAGAATAGAAGGGAAAGGAGATGTGGAAGGCTTAGCAAACTTACAAATTCTATAAAAGCTTGGTTTCTATTTGCTCCAACATTACACTTGGTATTGACAACTTTACCGAATGGCTTTCCCAATTCAATCAGTTCCTCCTCTACGCATTCCCATGGTAAATTTCTTAAGTGGAGAACCTTGGATGGAGGCTGTGTATACCGAAACTGAGGCTGACTAGACACTGATGACATTACGCGAACGTCCAACCTACATACATAAATGGCAAAGATTGTGGTGTTGTCCGATGCATATACTCTGCTTTGTAATTGTCGACCCATAAGACAGTGAAAGGAGACAACAATAACACATTACAGTGTTATCATTATTTAAATATATATATCTAAAAATGGTTTATTGGCTCATTTAAACCAAATCAGGTTCATCAGGATTCATTCTAACAAAACCTTTGTGATCTGATCAAGTATATTAAATGTCATAATCGTGCAAAAGACAGAACAGTCAGTTTTCTTTCAGTTAAACTTTACATAAAAAGAATCAAAAACACAGTAAAGAAAAAAGATGACAAGTCTGTCCTCAATAACCCATAACCAATACAAGTGGCAATCCTATCCATTTCTTACCCCTCCATTTACTTCCATTAATATCCATTTGAGGAAATAACTATGATAATAAAAAAATATCCCCTCCATTAAATTTAGGGTACGTCTGACTATAGTAAAATCCTAGGTGAAGAAGGGTAAGTAAACTTAATTTCTTATATTCAGTTTTACCATGGAAAACGCAAAAGTATGACGATTAGTCTTTGTACAATTTTTACATTTCTGAAATAGATAGTTTTGATATCTGTATGCTATGTAACTACACGCATACATATATTTATCTAATCTCATTAAAAGTAGTCTGAATAGCGGTTATCCCACTATCCGCTATAGCCTATATCATTTTCAGGATAGACTGATACCCTATTTAGACTGCCGCACTTAAGCCTATCAGCAAACCAGTGAACCGTGCTGAAACTGAAACCGGATAACTGAATACATGCGAATCGGCGAACGGCGAGTAGGCGAGAGCTTAGCAATTGGACTAATTTCTCAAACTCGGAAACGAAATAAGGACGATATCACGATTAAAAGGCTTGAGCATACAATTCAGATATGGGAGGAATAAATCGAAATAGGGCACACCAAGGAAAAGGAAGACAATTTGTACCAGAGCGTGAATGTTCGGCTAGGGTTCGGAGAATTGATACCCGGAACAGCTCCTCTCTTCCTTCAGCTGCTCAAAATATGAGAAGATAGAGTCGGGAGAGGTGTACAAGGCGCCCTTCCACGAGAGCTCTAAACCAGATTAAGGTTAAATTAGTTTGTTCAGACTTCAGAGTAATCTGATCTCCTTGGACTCTCTGATGTCTTTGAATGTTTTTTTAGCTAAACAACTATAGTTAACAAACTTAACATACCTCGTGATCAATTAACATATTATATGGAGTAATTAATTATTTTAACTCAGTTAGTTTTAAAATTTGGTTTCACCAATTTTTGAATTCCTTAAATGGTGGATTTTGAAAAATATATCAGATCATGTTAGAATTAAATAAAACACATATGCTGGAGAAACAATTTAACAATTAAATTTGTTTAGAAAAATGAAGAATTATTGTATCTATTCTGCTTTTCATCATTATATTGTGAGTTCCTTTTCACGAATAAATTATTGAGGACAAGTTCTTCATATTCAGATGAACGACAATAATTAACTAATTACATACATACAATCATGTTTCCTGTACACGCTAGTTGTACACAACATTTTATATACCGATCAAATTGTTTGTGCAAAAATAATATCTTTTCATTTTATATACCGACAATAAAAGATGTCTGTGTCACAAACAGAAGAAATTGTCGATACAAAAAAATGATTATTTTCAGAAAATCAAAAGAAATGTTTGTGCACAAACAATTTGATGAGCATATAAAATGCTTTGTATAACTTGACGTGTAAGTCACTATATTCTGTTTACCATAATGTCACACTCCTAACAATGTCGATACTCCTAACAATGTGGACCGATTAGGGAGTTGACATCTCATAATGACAATTTGTATTAAACGTTTTTATTAACTTAGTTTTGTCAGTTTTCGATTTCCCAATTCACTTTACATCAATTCCATTATGAGAAGAGAAAATTGTAACTAACCGATGACACTTAACAACCTTCGATCCATTTCGATTTGATTACATTTCATGATTTAGTTGGTTTTCATTAATTTGGATTTCCTTAGATTCAATTTTGAATTTCGACCCATTTATCAGTCTTGATTCCGGGTTATAGCTCTTTTGTTCAATCCTAGTTCATGTATATGTTAGTTGTACACGACATTTTAAACGCAAGTCAAATTATCTATGCACAAACAATTTTTTTTCGATTTGGGAAGAGAACCAATTTTTGCTCTAACAAAAAAATGTTTGTGTCACAAACAAAAGAAATGGCCGGTGCGAAAATTGATTCTCTTCACAAAACAATTTTTTTTTATGGAGAAACATTTTGACGAACATATAAAATGCTTTGTATAATTTGACGTGCACGAACAACATTTTTCAATTACATAAGTTACTATATTTTGTTAATGAGAACGCCTCACTCCTAACAATGTGGATCGGTTAGGAAATTGACATTTTGTAATGACTCAGTCTGTATTAAAATATTTATTGATTCGATTTTGTCAGTTTTTGATATTGAGCGTAGATCAATTTCATTATGAGAAGGGAAATCGCAAATAAACAATAACACCTAACAAGCTTCAATCCATTTCGGTTCGATTACCTTCAATGATTTAGTTGATTTTCATTAATTTGGATTTCTTTGGATTTAATTTCGAATTTTTATCCAGTCTTGATTCCGGAATATAGCTCTTTTCTTCGGCCCCTGTTTGAGTAATACGGGGTATGGAACTTGATTCTATAAAAGTGGGGATGGACTCAAAAAATGGTTTCAAGAGCAATGCTTCTGTTGTACACAAATTTTGTACACATATGATATACACCCTGCTAGTTGTCTATCTACAAAGCAGCTTCTGAACGAATTATCTTTACAGACAGACAACTACGGGGACAACTATGACATGTACATCATATGTGTACAGAAAGTCAAAAAATGTGTACCAAAAGCATTTTGCTTCTGACAAAAATAAAAAAATGGACTTATGCACAACATAGTGAAAGAACAAACATAGACAAAATAACATGAAAAATAGCATCAAGTGATCTAAAAGATCGAGGACTTTTTGCTTGAATATTACTCTCTCAGTCCCATTTTGTAATATACTTTTCCTATTCACTTGGTCACACACAAATCACTCTTAATCTCTTACTTTATATATCATTTTTTTACCAAATTTGATTCTGATTTTGCTATTTGGTAAAGCTTTTAATGTGATTTCTGAATATGTAATTTTTTTCTCAAAATATAATTTGAGTGCGGATAAGGATCCATTTGCTTTATCGTCAGTCAAACATCGTAAACCGTAAAGTGTCTTATAATTCGGAACGGAAGGAGTACTAAGTTAAAGCAATTTTTCAAAAATGTGATCATTTTTTCAAAAAGACAAAAGTGTTACTTAGAGGGTCAAATATTTGAAAAAATATGGTGTCATTGTCAAATTACTATGTCACTGCAAGATTTTTACGTCAATATCATATGTCATTACCAGATTATTATGTTACTTTTGAAGGTCACTGCCGATTTTCATGACACTCGGATGTCACAACGTCGCCAGCCAGCCACCCTGATGGCGCCCCAGAACACTGTCTGTTGCCCTTGCCCTCTGCCCACGCCCCAGCAACCCTCCCTAGTTCCGACCTGACCCTTTATTTCCCCCTCCCCAACCTCAAACTCTAGCCCTTGTCTTTCTGTTAACCTAGCCACCGTCATCGCCGAACCCTAACCGCCACCCATCGTTGGTTTTTGTACTACACCAAGTATGTACTCAGGAAAGCAATTTATCGATGGATCGAGATTGAGAGGTTCGACGCCGCCATCGTTGCCGATATCGTCCAATCCAATGACGACGGGCTCCATTGAAGTCGACGATGAAACTTTGCGAAGAAGAAAGGGGAAAGAGAAGATACAACGGCGATGTCGTCACAGAAGCACATATTGAGGTGCTTGCGGAATTCGAAGGGAAAGTAGGGATGGACCAAACCGGGTCGGCCCGGTCCGGAACCGGTCCGGCCCGCTATTGAGCGGGCCCGGCCCGGGTAAGTTATGGGCGGTTCGGGCTTTGAACCGGCCCGAGGGGGTAGGGCGGTCGGGCATGGTTCACGAAAAAAGGGGCCCGGCCGGCCGGTTCGGGCCCGGTCCGGGCCTAACGGCTAATTTTTTTTTTAAAAAAAACTTTGGCAACCAAACATGCCTTATAGCCGTTGCATTCAAACCCAAACGGATCTATAGCCGTTGGGAGCCTGCCAGGGGGTCCCGGGGTGGGGGTGGGGTACAAAAAATCTATAAATACTCCATTTTTTCTATACAATTTACTACACATCTTCTCCAAATATTCATACTCTCTAATCTCTATTCTTTACTAATCTTCTCCATCTTCATCTTCTCAAATTTATAACTACATATATTATATTTATAAAATTTATTATCTACTTATTATCTACATATATTAATATCTAATTATTATATTATTGTTATTTACTTATATTTACATATTACATATACTTAATATATACTTATATATATTAAAGTATTATATGTAAGTGTATAACTCATCTTATAGTAATATACTTATATTATATATACTATAACCATAATATTATATATTACTAGTTAATCTACTTATTATATATTATATATATATATATATATATATATATATATATATATATATATATATATATATTAAGTATATCTACTTATACACTTATTATCTACTTATCCAATTGCTTATACAATCTCACACTCCCTTTAATTTAGTTTACACACTCATACATTCTTTATTAATATAAAACTAGTTAATTGTTTCACTTATCATTTTAGTATTAGTTCATTGCTATAAAAGTAGTTAATTGTTAGTTTATTGAAAATAGTTACATTAAAAACTAGTTAATTGTTTCACTTATCATTTTAGTATTAGTTCATTGCTATAAAAGTAGTTATTTTTTAGTTGTTAGTTTACTGGAAATAGTTACATAAAAAATTGTTAGACAATAATTGTTTGTTTAATTGTTAAACTAGTTAATTCGAAATTAATTGTTTAATTGTTAAACTAGTTAATTGTTACATTTATCAGTCCCCTATCATAGTAGTTAATTGTTACATTTCTTAACTCAAACTTTTAGTCATGTTTATAAACCTACCGCAAACCAATTTTTTGTTGAAGTTGTTAATCTCGCCGGTGCTTTTTCTGAATTTGTTGATGCCGCTTACGTTAGTTATTTTTGTGACTTCATGAAACAAAAGTTTTTAAAATATTATTCCTATATTCCGCATATATATAGTATTGCATTTATTCTTGATCCTCATTTTAGACTTGCTTCTTTTGAACAATGTTTAGATTACTATTGTGCTTCTTTTTTGGTCCATTATTGCTTATGTACGACGATAAGGCCATAGACCCTAAACAACAATTCCAAAAGGTTAGTAATTTATTATATCAATTATTTAATGAGTTTCATGCACAATATGGTAACGCATCCCTCCCGCCACGAACATCTTCTTCATCTACAGGAAAATCAATTTTTGAAATCTGTATTTGGCAATCTTATGAAAAAAAGTAAATCAACTCCGGTTAATGAACAAAGCTCGATCAACGAGCTTTCTTTGTATCCAACATTTCCTGTTGAGTATGAAGAAGGGGATGACTTTGACGTTCTTCATGGTGGAAGGAAAAAGAGAGAACGTTCTCGATCTTATCAAAGATGACTAAGCAAGTGCTAGCATTGCCGGTATCAACAGTTGCTGTGGAACAAGAGTTTAGTGCGGCCGGCAACGTCCTAACGGATTATAGAACAAGATTGAGCGCAAACTCTCTTGAGACGCTTGTTTGCTTCCACGATTGGTTGAAGGTCAAACATAGAACTGAAATTAGCATTGAACCCACTAGCCACTTTATGGAAGAAACAACCGAAGATGGCGGAAATTTCGATTGATTCTTATTTATTAAAAAGTGTATTTCATGTTTTAATTTTTGCTCCATATTTCAAATAAATATATTTTAACTTTTTTATGTCCAAGTAATCTTAATTTAATATTTTAAAAAAAGTTAAATAGTCCGGGCCCGGCCCGAACCGGCCCACTACCCGTCCGGGTAGACCCAACCCGGACCGGACCCGATATCACCCGGGCCGGTTCCGGAAAAAAAGCCCGCCCAGGCCCGGAACCAGACCGGCCCGGGTCCATCCGTAGGGGAAAGTGGTGCGAAGATAGAAAGCATGGAGAGATCGGGAGATTGGGTGGGCTTCCACCGCGCATAAAATGGTTATATTTTATCATTCAAAGTCCATAAGACCATAAGTAATACTCTTAAAACTTTTCCCTAACTTTCCTCCTTTTTGGATGTCACATTAAATTTGTCACTTTCTCTTTTGAACGATAAAATATAACCATTTTATGGGTGGTGTAAGCCCACACAATTTTTACTTTATTAATCCTGGTTGCCCAAATTGTGCATGACACCGACAAAACAAAGACAAAATATAATATGTATACAAAATGTGTAGAAATGGGCGCGTACGAACATAATTTTCCAATGATCAAACATCACTGACAAGAACATCCTTGTACGGAGTGGGAGTGGTTGCCGCCTGTTGACCCTCCTCAACCGGCTGACGATCTCTTCTCCACCTGCCGCCGTCTTCGGCCATAAGAGGCGGAAAATCGCCGGAGATGAGAGGCATTCCACGGCCGTCCCTTTCATGAATCAATCGATCTTGAGCACCTCCCCTGAGCTTCTCCAGCCTCATTTCCCCGTTCATCTGCTGCATTTTGAACACTTTGACAACGTTTGCCAATCCCCCAGCGAAAAGTAGTAGGCTCCCGCATATTCCCAACCACACCCACTTCCCACCCTGCACAAAAGGGGAATTAACATCAAATACATCTTTTACTTGTAGCTTAATGACCTTCCTAGTTGCCTCCCTCTATCAACTCTCCTGGAGAGGTTTTGCTTATTTATCCCCTCCCTTTTGTATCTCTTCCATTTTCTTTAATAATATGGAGCATTTGGTAAGGTAGCTTAGCCTAGGCATTATTGTTTCCTAGGCTACAAAACCAAAAGAAACTTGAGACTTCAAATCAAACGTAAAGATGAGCCTTAAGGTTATTGAAAATGAAGTTATTGTTCAAACGTATAGAATATAATGACGTTAACTATGCATGCATACCAATAATGATTTGAAGCGTTGGTGGTGTGCAACATGCTGATTATGGCGGGTTCGGGTGTCGTTGCAATTGAGAATGGCTCCAACCAGAAGCAACAAACTAGCCATCAGGAACGGAATGTGGACGCTTTGTTGCAGAATCTGAACGTGCCCGCCCGCTCTCTCGTATATCTGGCATGAGTTGAGGATTGAACCAAGTAACCATAGTGCAGGCCCGGCTATCAATAGGTTTAAACCATGTTTCTCCAGTTCCGTGAACTGACTGCCCTTCTCTGCCTGCACCATTCCATTTAAATATGTGCATCATTTTTATGATTTACTTGAATTCATTACATATGCCCACAATTTGATCAGTTCAAATCAGCCAAAGAATTTCATGTAGCTAGAAGTGTGGTTGTTTTCTTATACATTTTCATTGTAGTGGTCCTATTTTTGAACCTTGTCTACTACGGAGCACGTTTTTTACCCCTATTGATGATCTTAGAAAATGTTTAACCAAATTTGGTCCTATTTTTGAACTTTATCTATTTTTTACTCCTTTTCATTCCTTTTGATGATCTCAAAAAATGTTTAACCCAATTCAGTCCTACTTTTGAACTTTATCTATTTTTTACTCCTATTGATGATCTCAGTTACTAACTTTCATTTTCATCTTCAATTCGGCAAATTTTGGGAAATTTGTAATTTTCATCTCGTAATTTTAGAGTTTAGACTGTTTTCATTATTAGTCCCGTAACTTAAATTTGGTTCTGTAACTAACTTATATAGGATCTTTTCCCTGAAAGTACACTTTCAGGCGATAGTATACCGGAAAAGATATAACAGTCGAAAATTACATGACTAATAAAAATTACATTTTTCTGCCGGAAAATGTACTTTCCGATAGAAAAGTCCTTAAACTGCAAAATTTTTTTAGTTACAAGACGAAATTTGCAAGTGATTAAAGTTACAGGACCAATAACAATAACAGTCGGAATAACAGTCGAAAATTACATGACTAATCTAGTCTAATCTGAATTGGTTTGATAAATGTGTTTTTACGGGTAAATGTGTATTTTACCAAAACGAGCTCAATTAAAAACATCCTAACGTAAAATATAGACACAAACATAGACAATAATATGCTATACCTTAATGAAGAGGAACAAAATTCCGAGGAAAGAACAAACACAGCCGAGAATGTGCATCAGTGGAGCGGCGAATTCAACTAGAGCGAGCTGCGGGTCATAAGCAAACAAGCAGAGCCGGTAATCGATCCCGGCGAGGTGAGCGAGAAGATCGTGGAGATTCACTACGGCGATGAGCACCAAAGCAATGAGCAAGAGCACGAGGCCGGATTTCGGCTCCCTCGACAGCTCCGCCGCGAAGCCGCACAGCAGCACGATCGTGGAGAACAGATACAGGCCGGCGTTTATGTATTCCGATCGGTTCCAGGACGCCCCCGGGCCGTAAATCCGGCAATCTCTTGCTGTCACTAATTTCACCATGCTTGATTAGTCTTTGTTCATGCAACACCTACTGATAACGTCGTTAATTAATTTCCTGATCCAATTCGAATCCTAAGCAATCCTAAGTAATAACACAGTATAAACAAAATAGAAATTCTTGAAAGAAAGATCATCAGATTAGATTTTGCTGGTAGGTTATGTATGTTATGTGAGTGAATATGCGAGAACTGACACGTGTCATCCTGCATGGAGGCATGTTGCTACGTGTCATGCAAGCAGGCAATAGACGGGGCACCAACCTAGCTACTTACTTGGTCCATTCTAGAACCGAAAAAATATGGAAAATTCTTTTTGAACTGGAGCAATTATATATGGAAAATATGAATATATGATTGCTACCTCCATTTTCTGTTGACTTTTGTAAAGCAAGTTCACTAAAAGTATGTAATTATGCAGGCACTGCGGTAGTAACAATGTAAATAATGGTTATGGCGGAGTTTAGAACTTAGAAATTGCAGCATAAAATAAATATTTTCAATTATAACGATCAAAGTATAATACGGAGTATTTCGAAAATACGATATCTTATCTCATATTAGTTCAAACATTGAAATTTATATACTTCGTATTATTCATGTACTCTATTTTAACCACATTTTATTTATTAATGTATGTGAATTCTTTTTTGAAAAATATTATTGAATTCGTCGCATTACAAAGTTTCATAATCTAATTTGTAAAAAATTTGTGCGTTGACAAATATGAAAAAGGGAATCTTGAAACTAAAAATGAACGGAGTATAAATCTTAAGATCTGGGCGAATCATGCCCACATCATGGTTATCGATCGATTTGGTTCAGATATAGTGTTTAATTGTTTCAGAGATATCCCGTGTAGGACTTTAACAATAAATATGAAATGTTTTTACACTCCGTGTTATAGATACTAGTTAAATAGTCAACTAACCGGTGCCTTTGTGCTTGTAAATTCATTCTTTTCTTAAAAATAATAAATTAGTTACTCCCTCCGTCCCGCAAAATAGTTCACGGTTTCATTTTTTGGTCGTCCTAAAAAACAGTTCTCATTTCCATTTTTGGAAAGTTTTGTGCGGATTACATTCATTTACTTTTTTCTTACTCAACCACAACCATACGTTTCTACTTTATTCCCACTTTCTTAAACTCCGATCTAAATCAATGTGAGAACTATTTTATGGGACAAAGAGAGTATTTTATTATTGTTAGAAAATAGAAGAGGTTGTTGGTTGTATGAATAGAATAAGTGATTTTAGTGAGGTGTAATGTAGATGATGTGTTTTAGAGGAGAGCTCTTGTCTCTAGAAAAGTAGTATTGTATTGATGTTTCTTGGTTTTGCTTGGTTTGAAAATGAGTACAATGAGTCCTATTTATAGGAGCTAGAGGATCATTCTAGATCCTTATTAAATGCTATGATTCTAGAGTATTCTACATCTATGTCTAATTACTCTAGATTTTACATAAGAATTCTCTAGTAGAGAATTTTCTAGAATACTTTCTACCTTTAACTCTCTAGATCATCTCTAGCATTTTCTACATAGAATATTCTAGATAAATGCATCACTATTTAATACTCCTCCTTGATGCATTTGTCGGTGACTCCAAGCATTCTTCGCAGAAACTGGAATCTGTCTCTTGGCAGGGCCTTCGTGAAAATATCTGCCAATTGTTCTTCTGTTGGGCAGTACTTCATCTCAATATGCCCCTTTGCTTGGACATCTCTCAAGAAGTGATACTTGATATCGATGTGCTTAGTACGATTGTGCTGAATTGGATTTTTAGCCATCGCAATAGCTGACTTGTTGTCGCAAAATATTTGAGTCGCAGAACTTTGCAATTCTCCCATGTCTTCTAATATTCTTTTTAGCCATATAGCTTGGCACGCTGCTCCGGCTGCTGCAACATACTCGGCTTCGGCTGAAGATAGTGCAACAGAATCTTGCTTCTTTGATCCCCATGAGAAAATTCCCGAACCCAGCTTAAATGCGTAACCGGAGGTGCTTTTCATGTCATCTTGAGATCCAGCCCAATCACTGTCGCTATATCCAGTTAGTCGTGAGTCAGGAGTTGTTTTGTACCAAATACCATAATTGATGGTTCCTTGTAGATACCTAAGGAGTCTCTTTGCCGCTCCATAATGAGTCTCAGTTGGACTTTCCATGAACCTCGAGAGCAAACTTGTAGCTTACATGATGTCCGGCCTCGTAGCCGTTAAGTAGAGTAGACTCCCAATCAAACTTCGGTAATTGGTTGCATCCGTCTGCTTTGACCCATCTTCTTTCTTCAATTTTTCATTAGGAACCAGTGGAGTAACGACGGCTTTGCAGTCTTGCATTTTAAACTTCTTTAGCATGTCCTTAATATATTTTTCTTGAGATAAGAATATGCCTTCTTCTTCTTGACTTATCTCCATGCCAAGAAAGTAGTGCATTAATCCCAAGTCACTCATCTCAAAAGTGTTCATCATGTCTCTCTTAAATTCTTCAATTAATTTGGAATTATTTCCCGTGACAATTAAGTCATCAACATATAGAGAGACGATGAGAATGTCAGATTTACCTTGGGATTTGATGTATAGTGTAGCCTCGTTCTTACTCCTCCTGAACCCTTGACGGGTGAAGTATCCATCAATCTTGCTATACCACGCTCGTGGAGCTTGTTTGAGCCCGTAAAGCGCTTTCTTTAGACGAAGAACTTTTCCTTCTTCTTTGATGAATCCTTCTGGTTGCTCCACATACACTTCTTCTCGTAGCTCTCCATTTAGAAAGGCTGACTTGACATCTAGCTGATAAATTTTCCATTTCTTCTGAGCAGCAAGAGCTATGAGTGTTCTTATTGTGTCCATCCGGGCAACTGGTGCAAACGTCTCTGTGTAGTCAACTCCCGGTATTTGAGCATACCCCTTTGCAACCAGCCTTGCCTTATGCTTCTGAATTGAGCCATCGGGGTTCAATTTTGTTTTATACACCCATTTGACTCCAATAACCTCCTTGTTATGTGGAAGATCTACCATTTCCCAAGTATCATTCTTTTCTATCATTTTGATCTCCTCCTCCATTGCTTTAATCCAAACTTTTTCTTTGGAGGCTTCGGTGTAGCTATATGGCTCCAAGGAGCAAAAGTTGCATGTTTCATAGATGTCAGTAGACTCATATAGGTCTGCTAGAGTTCTTACCCGAAGAGGTGGGGACTCTGGTGAGGAGTCGTGATGTCTTGATGTATTAGCTTCAAAAGAGGATCTTGGAGTAGACGTGGGGCTTTGTTGATCGTGATTTTCCTCTTCTGGTATTTCCTCTAGTTGGACAGTAGTTGTCTTTCTTTCAACTTTTTCTGTCTCCCAATTCCAAGAGGCTTGCTCGTCAAACTCCACATCTCGACTTGTCACCAACTTCTTTGTCTCGAGATTGTAGATTCGATATCCCTTGGATTTGGAGCTATAGCCAAGGAAGATGCCCTTCTCTGTCTTGTCTTCTAATTTGTGCCTTTTAACAGAGGGAACATGAATGTAGCATATGCTTCCGAAGACCTTCAAATGTTTGGCTGAAGGCTTTTGTCCAGATCATGCCTCAATAGGTGTTTTGTTTAAAACCGCCTTAGTTGGACACCGGTTTAGAAGATAGACTGAAGTATATACTGCCTCTGCCCAGAACGTTTTAGGCATTCCTTTTTCAGCTAACATAGACCTTGCCATCTCCATGATTGTGCGGTTCTTCCTTTCGGATACCCCATTTTTTTGTGGAGTGTATGCTACTGTTAGTTGATGCTCTACACCTTCATCTTCACAGAACTTGTCAAATTCTTTTGAGTTGTATTCGGTACCTCGATCGCTTCTCAACTTCTTGATTTGATGACCACTCTGTTTCTCCACGAAGTTCTTGAATCTCTTGAATATTCTAAAGACTTCGGATTTTTCTTGGAAAAAATACACCCATGTCATCCTAGAGTAATCATCGATGAAGAGTATGAAGTACCTGTTCTTCGAAACTGAAGGCGTGCACATTGGACCGCAAACATCGGTGTGGACAAGCTCTAGTATCTGTTTGGCTCTCCATGTCTTTTCTGTTGGAAATGGTTGCCTGTGCTGCTTCCCAACCATACATCCTTCACATACTCCTTCTTTTTCATCCAGTAGAGGCATGTCTCTCATCATCTTCTTTAGGTGTAGTAATCTCAAGGCATTGAGATTGAAGTGCCCAAATCTTCGATGCCATAGACTCGTATCACTCAGTTGAGCCACCATCGCCTTTTGTGGATATTGCCATTGAATAGGAAAATTTCTATTATTTCCCATTTTTACTTCAGCAATTTCTTGATTATTGTTCTTGTCATAAATTCGGCAAGAATTTTTCTCAAAGTGCAAGGCATATCCACTTTCCATCATTTGGCCAACACTTAGTAGATTTTGTGCAAGGCGTGGCACTAGGAGAATGTTTCTAATAAAGCGCGTACCTTTCTTTGTATCTATGACAATGGTACCTTTCCCCTTTGCCTCCACCAAATCGCCATTTCCCATCTTGACTTTTGTCTTGATAGAGGTGTCTAAGTCATGGAAGATGGTCTCGTTGGATGTCATGTGATTGCTGCACCCACTATCGATGTACCACTCTTCTTCTTTTGCTTCTATGGCTGAGTGACATGCGTAGAACATGTACTCCTTCTCCTTAAAATCTTCAGAATAGTTGGCCTGATAGTTTCTTCTATCTCTGCAATCTTTTTCTTCATGCCCGAACCTCTTGCAATTTCTGCATTGTGGCTTTCCTCGATGGTAGCCATCTTTCTCTAAGTGATTAGTCTTCTTGCATATTTTGCATGGTGGAAAGTTCGTCTTCCTCTCCTTGTTGTTAGAATTCCCATCTTTATGTGGTTTAAAGTTTTCACCATTTCTCGAGTGATTCCTTTTAATGTTGAGCTTAGACTGGAAGGCACTTTCTAATGAACTTTCGTGTCGTCTGTTTAGCCTTTGCTCACGTGCTTCTAGCGACCCCATTAATTCAGTGATGGACATTTTTGATAGATCTTTTGACTCCTCAATAGCCGAAACTATTGGATCATATTTTTCAGGGAGACTGATTAGGACCTTCTGGATTATTCTCTCGTCGGTTATGTTTTCTCCAAGAGTTCTCATTTCGTTGACTATATGTATAACCCGAGAGAAATAATCTTTTGCCATTTCAGAATCTCTCATCTTTAAATTTTCGAGCTCTCTTCTTAAACTTTGTAATTTAATAGTTCTAACTTTCTCATTTCCTTGAAATTCCTCCTTAAGAATATCCCAAGCTTCTTTTGCCGTAGTAGCACGAATTATTCTCGGGAAA